CATGAACGAAAGACACAAGATCACGCCTTAAGGAAAGAAAGAAAAAAGTTATTTTCTAGCTGTTGAAATCTCGACGCCATCTTTGTTGTAAGAAGTAAACAACGAAGAGAACAAAAAAAAACGCGTAATTGTTGAACGCATGAATAATCATTTTTATTATGCAAATTCTCCTATAAATCATGTCGTTGTGTTAAATTATTCTTTACCTTATGTGTGCACACGTTGGCACAAGCGAAAATTAAGAAAATTGCAGTAAAAAGCCACCACCAAATTGTAAACAACGAACAAATGTAAACAAACGGCTTATGTCAAAATCGCCCTACTTTTTTCATAAGTGCGATTATAACGGGCCACTCTTCTGCTGTCGTGATCTTGTCTTTTTGGTTCATGACGTCAGCTCTGGTATGTCTTGCGGCCACTGCGTTGAGTCTTTTTGTAGAAAATCAGGACCATGGTTGCCACAATTGGTAACTTTCTACCAAAATTGGTAACTTTTAAACGGTTTGGTAACTTGGTAACTTTTATTTCATTTTGGTAACTTTTGCAACTAAACATCTATCTGCATTACTAGAAAGAAATGAATTATGTTTTGAATGTGCGTAATTATAAAAACCCTTCGAGTTTCAGTGGCAGCACTACTGACACTTTTACAAAATTACTTCGATTAAATTAGAGTCATCTCATATTCGAATACTGGAAATATTTGAATTACAGTGGCAGCACCAAGAACTGCATTTTTAAAACAACTTTCGAATTTTTGCGATAAATTTTGAATTCTACCCTCTCACATTTTAATACTGGCCATCTGGAAATTTTTGGTAAGGTCCACAAATCGTTTTGATTATTCCGGCAAAAAAAAAGTCGCGTGCTTTTTACAAGACCCATCTACCGACATGTATTTCGACACCTACCGACATATATTTCGACGTGCAGTAAATTATGAAAAACCAAAAAAATAGCAAAAAGATTAACAATTTTCGCAATTTACTCGAAATTTTGTACGAGTCAAACGAACTGTTAAAAGCACCCGCCACTTTTTTTGTGTGCCGGTGCTATTATTCCGTGAGTCGCAGGTCCAAGTATCGGCACATTCCGAACGAAAAATTACACTAAAAATGGCACAACTCCGAAACCGGTTTGTCTCCAAACCAAATTTGACGGAAAATCATTCCACATTACATCATACTCCTACCCTGTCGGAAAAAAAAGAAAAATATTTTCTGGGAGTTCTTGATAAATAATCAAAAATTGACAAATTATAAAAATATTGAATTTATTAAGTGCACAGAACCGGGCTGCAAGTATATACACATTT